AGGGAGCGGGGTTTACCTCTTTTTTCCCGGGATTCGGGAAGCTCCCCGTGTTCGTGTGGGCCGGGAGGAGGAGCAGGGGCGGGGCGGGCTGGGCCCCGCCTTGGGGCGGTGCCGTTGAGGCGCCGGTTGGGCGGTGCCCGCTGAGGGACGGGCGGGTCCCTGATGGAGAGAGGCGGGGGCCGTGGTTGATTCAACGCCCTCGGTGAGGGGCGAGCGGGGCCTTACCGCTTCCTGAGGTTTTATCTGGAGAGGTGAATGCTCCAGAGTGACCCCATTGCAGGTTTTTAGTGCCTAAATAGGGTTCAAGAGAGCTGGAAAGGGATTTGGGATCAGGGCCTGGAGGGACAGGACAAGGGGGAATGGCTTCCCACTGCCAGAGGGAGATGGGATATTGGGAAAAAACCCCTTCCTCTGAGGGTGGTGAGGCCCTGGCACGGGTTTCCCGAGAAGCTGTGGCTGCTCCATCCCTGGAAGTGTCCAAGGCCAGGTTGGAGCAAGCTGGGCTGGTGAGAAGTGTCGCTGCCCTGGCAGGGGGTGGCACTGGATGAGCTTTATGTCCCTTCCCACCCAAACCATTCACGGGTTCCATGGTTAGAGCCGAATTATCAGACTATCACACTGCATGGGACTAAATCCAGACGTGTTCTTGTGTGGGTTTTGTGCACACACAGCTGATTCCTGAGGTGTTTTTTTTTCCTAGCACAATTCTGAAAGTGTCCATTTTCATTATTTAGGCAGAATTGCCCAGGTTTCATTCCTGGAGTGTGTAACCCTCCCTTTTTTTAAACAGTAATCAAAGCAACGGAAAGACAAAATACATTCCTTTAAATCCTTGCTCAAAGAGGACAGGAAATACCTTGCCTTTGTCCAAATTCCCCTGCTGGGTGAGAGTCAAGTGCAGGGCTTTCAGGTCCAAAGATTCCTTTTGGGATGAGTCCTCACTCCGGGGAAAAAACAGGGTTTGTTTGTGAATACTTTGGAGCTATTGAGTTCCACAGGAAGGTTCTTTATCTGGTGATCTTGGATTACAACGAGGTTTTTGTGTGAGTGTCTCAGTGACTAATACCCTGACAGGGTTCCTCTTCCTTTGCTCAGTTTTTCCCAACCCCAAAAAAGATTTTTTTAAAATGTGTTTGTTTATCTCTGAAGGGCAAAGGTGGGGGTTGAGACACTTGGAGGTTTTATTTAATGCCTCAGGAGTGTTTTGCAGTTTAAGGCTGTAATTTGGGGTCCCTGAGGTCTGCTGTGAGGGACTGGCAGCTGTTTGGGAGGAGAGGGGGTTTCCAATCATTGGGATTTCCCCTGGTGTTTCTTGAGGGAACTCTCAGGGATGAAGGATTTGTTGGGACCTAAAACAAGAGAACAAAATCAAATTATGGTGTTTTTGCCTTCTCTGTGAAATTCCAGCATTTTGGGGGTACAGCTGAGCTCCTTTACTGAGGATGTTGCTTTTGCTGGCAGGTTGGAGCTGACTCCTGCTGATTCCTCTGGAAGAGCTGCCCAAAGGCCAGCAGCAGCAGAAGAGCCTCTAGAACAGGGAGCAGAGTTCCAGGAAGCCACAGAGCCATGGGAGACAGTTCCCCTGCGTCCCCTGGGCTCTGTCAGGAATTCAGACAGGACCCACTCCCCAGGGCTAAGAGGCTGTCGGATTCTGCAGTGCAGGTGCAGGCCCTGCAGTCAGCTAAGAAAGCCTGTGTGCTGAGGCGTGGCTGCAGCACTCCAGACCCAGCAGGGAATCTTCTCTTCCCTTCCCCAAGCTCTGGCTGCTCCCTTTTCCTGGAGGAGAGTGCCCAGGATGAGTTTGGTGCCAGTTTTTCTGTGCCCAAGTATGACGACGTGGCCATTTCCCTGGACATCAGTGGGTGTTTCGACGACAGCGAGCTGGATGACTCCTTGCTGGAGCTGTCAGGCAGCGAGAAAGGGAATTCTCCCTTTGATTACACCGAGGAAGAGATCCAGGAAATCTTGGCAGATGATTCCATGGAAGCTGAGCAGCAGCACCTCGCTGGTGAAAGCCACCTGAGCCAAAGTGTGAGCGGAGAGAGCGACAAGACAGAGAGCAGCGGCTGCACCGCAGGGACATTGGTCAGTGAGGCAGCCTCAGAGGTCACAGAAGAGCCAGAGGAACCCCAGGAGCATCCCTCAGGCAGCTCTGGGTGTGATCCTGGCTTTTTGGGTGGCAATGCTGCCCTGGATGGGTCCCAGCTGCAGGTGGAGCTGGACCTAGACCTGCAGGAGCTGCTGAGCCTGAGCCCGTTCGCTGCCGCCTGCGCCGGTGAGGCTCTGGAGGAAAACAACCTGGAAAGAGAAACTTTGGATGCAATGATAGATGATTGTTTGGGATATTCCACAGCTGCTGGGAGCTGCAGTCCTGAAAAATCCACAGAGAGGGTGATGCCTAAAGGCTGGGAAAGCGTGGATCAGGATTGCCTGGGAAGAGCCATGCCCTCATCCAACCTTCCCTGTGGCCAGAGCACAGGGGATGAGAGTCCAGCATCATTGTTGCCACCAAAAAAAGAACTTCCCAAAGCAACAACGAGCTGTTCCTCAAGGAAATCAGGCTTGCCAAAGGATGCTGAAGGGGAATCCACAGGAGCTGAGCAGCCACCAGGCAGCACTAAAGTAAACTCACATCTTCATTCTTGTAATTTGAATGTTTTTAATCACATCCCTGTGGGTTTGTCTATGTGCACACAAGTGTTGTGTTTATATGGGGGAGGTTTTTCAAGTGGGTTTTTGTATAAATCTATAAGCAAAACTTACATGGAAAAATTTTATTACACATTAATCCCCTTTTCCCTTCCCTTCCCAGTTAAGTGATGCAGCTGTAGGCCAGACTGGGCAGGAAGAGCCAACCAGTGGGAAGAAAAGTGGCAAAGTAATTCCTGTCCCACAGGAGAAGGAAGAAAGGTAATTTATTAGGAAATCTGCACTTTGAAAATCATCCCAGCTGTTTCCTCCACCACTTTGTTCCTTGGTTTATTTTAATTTTTAAATTTTTAAAAATTTGAATTTTTAAATTAAGCTGCACTGAAATAGTGGGGAAACAATAAATATTTCACCCTGTAAGATTGTAGTCGTTTTGGTTTGTTAATTTGAGGGTTTTGGTTAATATATTAAATAATGTAGTGGGTTTAGTATTGGTTAAAATTGTTAGTGTATTTATTAGATTTTTTTGTTGTTGTGAGATGAATTAAGAGGTGGGCAAAATAGGTTTAAAATTTAAAAGGTATAAAAATTTTTATTAATAGAATTAAAAGAATAAGAATTAGAATAAAATTTTTAGAATAAGAATTAGTAAGAGATATTTTTTGGGCTTTCTTGTTTTTAAAATGTGGCTTTTTTAGAGGCAGATTTAGTTTTTAAATGGTTTAATGGGTCGTTAAATTTTAGGGTTAGTTAATTATTGGATTTTTTTAGGCCCAGAGGAAGCTCTTAGCAATTTTTTAAGAAACATTATTTTTGTGGATGGCTTCTTCCCTCCTCACTAAATATTAATTCACGTAAAGCTGGTACATCGATGCTGTGAGAAGAGGGAGGATGTCGGGGAACGGGAAGGGAGGTGGCTCGGGCAGTTTTGGGTCTGCAGGGGATGTTTGTGCCTGATGGCCTGGAGCCGTTCCCTGCAGGTGGCAGCAGCAGAGCGGCTCGGGATGTTGCTCCTGCTCTTCCCCGCTCCTGGAGGCGGCACATCGGGGCTTTTCCCCGCGTTCGGGGCGCTGCTGTGCTGTGAAAAAGCCGCTTTGGAGAGCTCCCTACGGCAGTGACCGGCTGGGAGCCTCAGCTCTCGGCGTGTTTAATCTTTGCAGCTTTACTCAAATAAATACTTCTATTTTTTCAGTCCCAGTGCTACAAGAATGTCGTGTCTGCCACAGTTCTGCAGGGCTCTTTGCCCTTTCTGTCAACTGTAACCTAATTTGATAAATAATCTAAAAATGAATTAACACAATTTATTATTTTTAAGGCCAAAACAACGGACCTGCATTTCAGAAGCACAGCCTGAGCAAAAGAAACGTTTCTCTCCAGGCTGTGGCAGTCCAAGTGAAGAGAAGTGTGGTTATAACCTCAGGTAACCCCCAGGTGGGATGGGATGAGGCTGGTGGGGAGGGAAAAATTGATATCCTGGCTGGCTGGATGGACTTGAATTCATTGTTTGGAGTGTGTTTGTTTTCAGAGGGGAATAAAGAGTGCCTGTGACACTCTTGTGCACTGCCATGGACATAATTCCTGCACAGGAATCAGCCCCTGGCTCCAGGGTTGGGTCAGAGGAGTTTTAGAGATACCTGGGAATATTGTGAAGGGAGTTTGGTGTGGAAAATCAGGGGTGCTCCAAAAGCAGGTTTGTATTCCCTGGGAGAAGAAGCACTGAGCTCTGGCTTGTTCTGTTGGGAATTAACTTGGTCATGTCAGTTCACAGCTATCCTAGAATCACCAAAATTGGAAAAGACCTTCAATAACATCAAGTTCCCACCTTATCACCAGCCTAGAGCACTTGAGTGCCACCTCCAGTCCTTCCTTGGACACCTCTAGGACTCCACCACCTCCCTGAAACTCACACTGGGAGAATCTTGAGCTCAAGTGCTGAGATTTGGACTCACACTGGGGGAATCTTGAGCTCAAGTGCTGAGATTTGGACTCAGACTGGGGGAATCTTAAGCTCAAGTGCTGAGATTGAGATTCAGACTGGGGGAATCTTGAGCTCAAGTGCGAGATTTGGATTCAGACTGGGGGAATCTTGAGCTTAAGTGCTGAGATTTGGATTCAGATTGGGGGAATCTTGAGCTTAAGTGCTGAGATTTAGACTCAGACTGTGGGAATCTTGAGCTCAAGTGCTGAGGTTTGGATTCAGATTGGGGGAATCTTGAGCTCAAGTGCTGTGATTGAGATTCAGATTGGGGGAATCTTGAGCTCAAGTGCTGAGATTTGGGTTTATTTTTGACACCTTCTCTGTGTTGCCTCAGTGGTGTCATCCAAGAGCCACCGACTGCGGGGGTGTGGAAAGGAAGGTGTTGCAAAGAGCAGGTTTGGATTTCAGCTCATGGGTGGCAGCTGATGGGTAGGACTGGGATGTTCTGAGAAGCAAAATATTCTAGTAGCTTCCAGCCACGGCTCCCTGTGGTTATTTTGAGTGTTCATGGGTGCAATAATTGCCATTTCTTGCGAGGCACAAGAAGCTGACAGTTGTGTGTGTGGAGCCTGCACTTAGGCAGGCAGCAGGAACAGCTGCATCGCCACAGGGCTGCTTCCAGAGGATGAATCCAGCATAAGTAATGCAGAGGGGACGAGGCAGGGAAAGCTAAAATGGCCTGTTTTCTCTTGCTTTCAAATTAAAAATGCAAGACGTATGTTGTGAGTCACAAAAAATCAGGCAGGAGCTCTAAATGAGCGAGGCTGACAAGTGAAATCGAGCTCTCTTTTGCTGGGGAAGAACATTATCTGTGATGCACACAATTTGATTTTCTTATTAGTGCAAACCTTTCTTATTCCAAATAGCTGTAGGCTTGGAATTCAGCCCAACAGACAGCGTGGGCTCTGCCAGTTGTCCCAGATGAAAAGCTCCTGGGTGGGCTGGCAGTGCCCTGTGTGCTGTCCCCCTGCACCTGGATCTGCAGCACTGTCCAGGGTGTGTCATTTGCATAGGAAATGCTGAGTGATCCCAAGGAATTAATGAAGGAAAATCAGCAGGTTTAGAGCCAGTGAGGGAATTCCTTCTGGGAAGCAGGAGCTAATATATTGCTGCTACAAATCTTCAGCTCTGTTTTGAGTTGCAAATCTCCTGGCATTTGTCTCAGGGTAATGTTTCCTTTGCTATCCCATCTTTTACGTAATCTGTCTGTTCTTCCTTGGATCCTGGCTCTTGCTGCTGTGCTGTCTGAGGGAATTCCAATCTGGCTACAGGAGAGATTCTGTCTTTTCTCTTGTCTGCATAGTGGCTTGCACTTGCATGAAATACAACTTTCATATATATAAATAAGATTTCCATATATATAAAATCCATTTTTCATATCTATCTCTTTTATATCTGCATATATCTCATATATATTCTTATATTGGGTGATTGAGTGCTTAAAGTCACAATGACTATCTGTAAAAAAAATCCTTTTATATTCAGGATAAACTTCTCACATTGAGCCATCTCTGCTGTGTAGAGAGACCAACCCCGTGGCTCTACTTGTGCTTCCTCTCATTCTGCTTTCTAGATGCTATTAAATCCTAATATATTCATTTATTTGCAGCTTCCCCTAAGAATTTAAATGCTGGTGAGGCTGTGCTGGAGCAGATGTAAAAATGAGCTGTGATTTGAGCATCTGCTTGGCAATGGGGGGCTGATAATTGACCACACAAGATTTCTGCCAGCTGACCATTTGTCAGTGTTTGCACTTTGTTATTGCCCTTTATCCAGCAGTAAATGGAATTATTTCCTTCCTGATGAGATCCTCCTTGGCAATTCTGGGGCTGGATCAGCTACACAAATAACGAGGCTCCTAAAACTGTGTAATTTGGAGCTGAATCACAGAGTGGGTTGGGTTGGAAGGGACCTTAAAGATTGTCCTGTTCCAGCCCCTGCCATGAGCATGGAGCCTTCCACTGCTCCAGGCACCTCTGGGAAGCTGAGCTGGCTCCTGTCTGACCTCCATCCATTTTTTTTTTACCTACCAGGACTCCATCAGGAGCTCTCCTTGAGGCTTGCTGTGCTTGCTAGAGGTTTTTGATGCTTTTAAAAATTTTATCAGACTTCTCCCAACCTGGCAGGAACCTGATAAATTATTTCCTTGGAATCAAAGGGACAGGAGGAGGAAATACATTATAAAGAGGCACAAACCATCTGGTTTTACTGTAATAACAAAGATCAATATCTTAAAAAAAAGCCCAGTATGTTTAAGGTGGTGGAAAGGGAGAGCAGTGTCAGGAACAGATGGAGAAACAAATCTGTGAAATACAAATGAACTCTTTGCTAGCAGACTCTGTGATGAAAGACTCTGGTCTCTTGATTGATGCTGAGCTGGTTGAGGGGAAGAAAAAAAAACCTTAATCTTGAAGCAGTTTTTACCTGCCCAAATTAATTTTGCTTGGATGGAGGGCAGGCAGGGAAGGTGCAGGACTGGGGCTGTGCTGACATAAATGAAGAATTCCATTTAGTGGCTGAGCTCAGGAGGGAGATTTCACTTCAAAGCAAATGAAATCCACCTCCAAACCCTAAATTTCAAGAGATGTGGGATGGGAATTGATAAAATGGATTTCTAAGTTTATGGTGAGGGGAGTGAGAAGTTACCTGGGGTTCAGAGTGTGATACTCCTGGTCCAGGGGCAAAGCTGAAATAATCTGAGCTCCTGGTTTGTAACTGGGTGGAACTGGCTGAAAACCTCATCCCAAATCTGTAGTTTGGTCTCGACTGTTGTGGAAGGAATGAGGATGTGCCCAAGGGGAAAGAACTCCAAAGGTTTTAAACTCTGTTTCATGGCAGCTGAGATTATCCAGCCCCCTTTCCTCAGGCCAAAAGGCCTCTGAGCCCTGGGGTGGATGCTGAGGCACTGGGATAAATTCCTCCAAATATCTGGTGGGATTCATCTGCCCTTGGGACTTCCCCTCTTGGAGAGGATTTCCAATCTTTTCCTGGAGTGAGTCATGGTGAAAGCTGGTCCAAGTCCTTGTCTCTCCTCAGGGGTGAAAAGTGCACCCCTGGCAGTAGGAAATGTTCCTTCTTTTTTTATGACCCATTTCACCTCTGACTCAGAAGGCCAAGGGAAGGAACTGAGATGTAGGAAGGCTCAAAATCTTTAAAAATGTCGTGATTTCTTCTACACTTATTGCAGGCAATGGGAACTGCTGTGCATGGTGAGAGTTTGCCTTGGAGAACCTCCCTTCCTCCCAAACCACCCATGGATTTCTCAAGAAAAACTTCTAAAAATCCCTTCTAGAAGTATCAGTTTTTGGCAATAAGTTGTTCCTTTGGGTAAATAGGAGCTGATTGTGCAGTTTCTGAAGGAGACCTGGGATTGCTGGGGAGACACCGTGTTCCCTGGGAAGGAGCTGTGATTCACATCCTTCACATGACTGCAGGATGGAAAAACCCTGGAGTTTGGACTGGGCAAGGACACACTCTGTGCTGGGCTGGGAGCCCCTGGGAAGGGCAGAATTCCAGGGAATTGGCCTTTTCCTGAGCTCTGAGTGGAATCCAGATCAAGCTGCTTTGGCTGGAGCCCTTCTGGTCACTGCCTGTTCTTGCTGAGCAGTGAAAAGAAAACTCTGTGTGCTGTGAGAGGTGACAGCCCAGTGCCAGGCAAATGTTCCTGCTCCAAACCAGATGTTTGGACAGTGGTTTTCTAGGAGTGACCCCCATGGTTGGAATTTGCTTTGAAAACCAGATGGTTTTTCAGTTAAAAAATGTGATTTCCTGACTTAAGCTCACTCCTGTGCATAAATAAAATCAAAATAAAGCAGCAAAGTTGTTTTTTTAAAAACATAAATGGGGCAAAGCTTTGTAGCACTCTGAGGCCTGCAGATAACCAAGCCCCTTGAAGTAGTTTGAATTTTAATCTCGCTTTTCTGAGGCTGCCTAAAGTTTGTGGGGTTTTGTCTCGTTATTTCAGAACATGCAAATGAGGGGATTTGAGGTGGGCAAAGCATTTTGTGAGGAAAATTTCCTTTTTGTTTGAAGTTGAACCTTCAGCCTTTGTGGTGGGCCAGGGAGAAGGAGCCTTGCAAAGAAGGTAATGAAGCAGCAGGCAGAATTCCTGAAAGGAACTTTGATGTTTTCACTTCTCAAGGTGCCTTCTTAGGATGTGGTTTGACTTTGAAAACCTCCTACCAAGAAAATCAGGTACCAGCTGCGAGCACCAAGGAAACAGAGATTTGTTTTCAAGAGATGCTGCTGCTCCAGCCTCATCCAAAAGCTCCTCTCGTGTTTGTTTTAACTTTTTGATTGACTTTTATTGCAGAAATTTCCCAAATTCTGACCCATACCCAGTGGGTGAGCAAGAACTTGGCCAAACACTCTGATTTCCAGAGAATTCCTGAACACTCACAGTGTTTATTCATTGCATTTTGCTGCTGAGGGGCTGTGCTGGTTCTTGTCCTGCATTTAGAGGTGTTAATTGGTCTGGTTTTCAGTGGTTTTAAGTTTCATTTGTAACTTCTTCTGCAAAAGCATGAGATTTGCACCAGAGTTTATAAATATTTTGCAGCTTTTAGATGTCATTTTCTTTTTTCCTGTGCTACTGAGCAACTCCAAATGAGTTGGAGGTGGATAGGTTGATATTCTCAATGTTCTTCCCAGGGGTGCCAGCAGGGCCTTGTGACTCCTTTAGGTATTTATAGGTGGAATTTTGGAGTGCAAATTAAGTTTATTCAGGCAGAAAATAATCTCATATTTTTATCATTGCAATCTGGCTATTTTTGGAGATGCTTTTGGCTCGTGTGATCTTAAAGAAATCAAAATTTTGGCTCAGTACTGACGTTTTTTTTAGCCTTGTGGTTCATAGATTTTATTCTGTGGTACCCAGAGTGGGACAGGACTTTGGAAAACAGGCAAAGTTTCTCTCTGCCCTGAATGTGCAGCGGCTGAGACAGGGAGAATGGAAGTTATTTGTCCAAAGGATCAGCAGTGAAGCTTGGAGCAGAGCCTGACTGCACAAACTCCCAGATCTCACAGAATCCAGGCAGGAAGGAACCCATGGACAGCACTTTTGGGGCTGGGTTGTCCAGGCAGGACTCAGGCATGGCCAGTGTCAGCTCCAGAACCTCTCAGGTGTTTTAATTTTGTACAGAATTTACTTCTGTAAATTTTATTTACAGAGAGCTTTGCACCGAGGGAGAAGGAGAAATCCCTTGGAAGCATGTGAGAGCTTCAGCACATGGTGGTTGATGGCTTTTAAAGCAGTGAACCTCACAAATCAAGTTCTTTGAGAAAGGAATCATTTACCTGTGGTCTGGGGACAATTTCACCTGCTATCTGTGGAATCCCAGGATGGTTTGGGTTGAAAGGGACATAAAGATCATCCAGATCATCTCAGTCAGGGCAGGGAGACCTTCTGCTATCCCAGATTGCTCCAATACCTGTCCAACCTGGCCCCAGACACTTCCAGGGGTGGAAATTCTCAGCAGGCAGCTCCTGACCCTGCCAGGGAGGTGCTGAAGGTGTCTTCAGGAGGGGGTTTGCGTTCTTTGGGAGTGTAAAACTCTGCCATGAAGCTGCTCTGTCCTTTGGGAAGGATTTAGGCTTCTGGGCAGCTTTAGTGCTGCAAATTTCCCTCTTTGACATTGCAAATGATTCACATTTGAATGGTGGAGAGAGGAGGGAGGGATTGTGGATTAAGCCTTCATGGAAGGACAGTGTTTTGCTGTGTGTTTGCTCTTAGAGAGCAGCCAAGGGCCCTGCTGATGATTTTTGCTGTAGTAGAACGCAGCGATATCAATAAAAACTGAAATAAAACTGGCTCTGTGCAAGCCCTGCGTGAGCTCTGATAAAATGCCTCACAATTAAAAATTTAATAGCGTTCATCAATGTATTGCAGCCAGCTGGAAAACAATGAGACTGAAATAAAACCACTGTGTGGGATTTTTTTCTGCCTTCCTCTCTAAAACTAACCAGCTTTTCCCTGTAAGGAGGAAGAAATTGCATCCTGAAACTGGAAATAGTGGAAGGTGACAATCTCCTTTTGGTTTAAGAGGATATTTAGGTCTGGGTGGTATAAATATGTTTAATTTAGCAGTTGGTGGTATTAAAGGTGGGGGTTTTGTGAATTCAAAAGGACAGTGATGCTGCAAAGTGTCAAATGGCATTGTGGGGCTCTGCATCCAGCGTGTCCAGATTCCAAGGAAAAAAAAAAGAGGATTTTTTTTCTGGCTGCCAGCTTTGCTGCCTCCATCTGGGAATCTGAAATTCAAGCTGTGCCTTCCCCGGCTCTGTCACTAATAATGAAGATTCTTCATTTGGAACTTACTTAACCAAAATTGAGGCTGAAGGAGAATCCAGCTCCGTTTTTTTTTCCTCGAGACGTGTGGGCTGCAGCAGCACCAAGGGGGAACAGCATCATTTTAACGCCTGAGGTCAGCAGACAATTCAACAGACGCCAGATTTGTGGTGGAAACACAAGATATTTTAGCATAACAAGCATGTTGATGGGGTAGCTTTTTAACAAAAGCTGATTGAATTTGGTCAGCTCTGCTTCCAGTCTAGGCTGTAATAGCTCATTACACGTCGTTTATATTTTTTTTTAATTTTTTTTTTTTTTTTGGCTGCAAATCTGGGGGAAATTACATTTGGTGGAACATATGGTGTCATCTTCAGCTCTCTCCTCGGGAAGCGCAGGCCTCGCCGAGGTGCCGTGTTTTGCTGGGGAAAAATGGATGTGCAGCTGTGACATTGGCTTTGGAGTGATGTCACCTTTTCCCGTCTTTGGCAAACACTGCCATCAGCAGCCTGTTCCTCTCCCTTGGCATCTCCATTACCAGCTGAGATTGTGCTAACACTTTTCCTCCGTGTAGGTGTTTCCTCCTCGGCTTCTATTGAAGTGGCAGGGAATCAAAATGCCTCGTGTTCCCGTTTTCCCCGGAGCACCGAGGCTGTGCCGGTGCCTGGTGGCCCGGGGGAGGGGGTGACAAGTGGCTGGGGCTGTGTTGTGAGTTGGAAGGACACGCTGTGCAGGATTGTTTGCTCCACACTTCCTCCCGCGGCTCCTCTTTGCTAAACTCGTGGGGGAGGAATTTATTGGTTAAATTGTACTTGTAGGCATAATATTACAGTGCTGGGAAGGAAGAAGGAGAGCGGTGCTTAACTCCAAACACGCCCTGGCTGTGCTGGCGAAGGGTTTTTGTTTGCAGCTCCCTGCTCCTATTGTGTCCCAAATCTCTGCTCAGTTGGTTCTTGGAAATCAATGGGATTCGTCCCGAGCCAGCTGGGCTGGCTTTGCTTTCAGAGATCAGCAGGAGATCAGCCTCTCTGGGATCCCTGGCACAGCAGCCCACTCCCTCTTGCTGCTTTTTAGTATTTATTGAAACCTCCCTTTCGCAGCTCCCGCTTCCAACAATGAGTCAAAATCAGCAGCCAGGGCGAAAACACGTGGGGGGACGTGGGTGGTCTGGAGGGTGTGCTGTGCTGTGGCCCAGCATGACTTCCCTCAGTGTGCCTTGGGTTTATTTTTGCTGGATGCCTTGCCTTTGTTGACTGTAAAACACCTCAGAAGTATCTTTTGGCAGCTGCTGATGGGAGCGAGGTCTCTGTTCTAAAGATGGGTTTAGGACTGAGCTCACACATTGCTGACTCTCATGGGTTACGGTGGAATTTAATACCCAGGCAGCACTTAAAGCTTTGGTGTTTATGACCCTCACAACAGCAGCATTTTAAGTAACTTTCTTCTTTTCTTCTCCTATAACCCTTTCCTAAAGTGTGGATTTACTCCACCACTTCAATTCAGAGTGGCTAAAAAATTTCCTTGAAGGGAATCACTTGAACCGAGTGGTTTGGAGTCCCTGTCTGAGCTGAACTCTGCCAGCCCACATTTGTTTCTCCTCACAAACAACATTTCTTTACTCTCCAAGCCCGCAGTTCTGGGTTATCAAATGCAGGTTATCAAAATAACCCTGGCATCTCCTGCCACATGTGAATATTGAACTCTGCCCCACACTGACACTTTAATTCTGATCTACCAGAGGAGTGATCACATCTCTGTCAGGAAAGAAATAGCTTCAATCTGTCCCTAGGAAACAACAACTGTGGGGAAAAGGAAAGGGATATGGTCTGAATTCCCAGGGACAACTGGCTTTAAAAGCAGCCACACAACCCCCCAACCTGCCAAATTACCGGGCTGGATTTCCTCTGGAGCAGCTCTCTGAGGGCTGCTTGCTTGGCTGTCTGCTCCAGGATTAGGAGAGAGCATCTCCCTTATCGTTTTGCACATGCTGTACCATCTGTCCTAAATCTCCCTTTGTCGGGCTGTGGATTCCAAGTGCTATTTCTTCCTTGGGAGATAACAGACGTGGCTGAAGAATTTTGCTAGGTAGGGCTGGGGTGCTATTTATGGTGCGAGTTTATTTTTTTTGTCCTGCAGTCAGAACCAACTCTGAACCTCCCTGGGTTTTCTCCACCCAGACACTGAGAAAAATATTTTAGGTTATAGGTGTGTTTAGATTTTAGGTCTGGGAAATAGGAAGTCCCCCATTTGTAGGGTGTGTGTGCTGCTGAAAGAAGGTGGATATGAAATAATTAAATTCAGGCATTACAAGGACACAAGAGATGCCTTTAATCTTTTATTGTACATTATAAAATGTTTATTGCTCTGTCTGTATCAGAGGTGGTGACCTCTCCTTCTTGGTGATGGAAAAGTATGTTCAGGCAAAGGATCCTGGAGACACCTTTGGGGTTGGCCTGGCTGGAACCAGCACTTCTGCAGGAGAAATTCCCAGTGCTTTTCTCCCAAACCAGCTCTTTGGGAAAAGCTGGTGACAGGGGAATTGGAGAGATGGCAGCTCCTCACTGCCAGCCTGGTTCTTTGCAGAGACTCCCAACCCAGGCTCTTCTGAGTGCAGGTTTGTTGTGACAAGCTCCAAACCTTCCCTCAGACCAGCCTCTCTTGGAGTGTGACGGAACAATTCGGATCCTGCCTCATCCCCTAAGTGCATATGGAGTGGTCTTGTGGAGGAATTAAATAAATACAGATACCCCATGGCACACTGCAAAGAATAAATCTTTTTCATGTCATGGTCCTGCATCTCCCAGCTATCCAGAGCACCAGCAATCCCCAGGGATCCTGTCAACTTCCAAACATCCAGCATTTCCTAAGAGAGAGATCCTCATCCTTTTTGGGAAGGGCTGTCTCCAGCAGACTCCTGCCGTTCCAACCTCAGGAGAACAGCACAGGCAGGGATGTGTAAGGAAAACCAGCCCTTCCCACACAGAAACTTTACTAAAAGAAGCTTTTTAAGAACTTAAGCCCTCAAAAAAATGCCCCTCAGGCCAGAGCCTTCCACAATAAACAGCTCTTGCCCCTGGAGACCTTGCATAGCAACCGGTATCATCAGGTATTTTGTCTTTTTCTTTGTTTTGTTTTTTTTTGCTGACTGGCTACATTTTTATGGACCTTTTTTGCCATTGGTGGTGGACTCAGGCCCAGCTGAAAATACCACACAGAAAATGGTTGAAATTATCCTGGAAGCTAAATAACAGCTTCTGGTGTCCCCTCATGTTGGGCTG